AGAAGACCCGCACCCAGGAATCAGCGAGACCACATTTGGATGCAAAACCGCAAGAGGCTTTATTAATGGCGCCGGGCACCTGGGAGCTTAGCTTCTGTTAGGCCAAGCCCTGAGGCAAGGGAGAGGGGTCCTCGTACGGGAGTGTCACCGAGAGAGAACCAGCCAGGGGGCGGGGTCTTTCAACAACTACTTTGTGCACCTTCTATTACTTTAAGGGTTAAATAACCGCTTTACCTTTTTTGACAGCTGCTGGCTGACATTTTCGTCTTATATATATTTTTGTGAACATTTCTGCTTTAAGGGTTAAATAACCGGATTTACCTTTTTTCGTCAGCTGCTGGCTGACGTCTTCCTATTTTATATTACAAATATCTGTTTCCTATTTCTACAATTATATACAGTTTTATTCCTGACTTAATGCTGTTCACTCACCACATTTGGCCATTTCTTTCTTCTTTTTTCTGCTCGCGCTTCTCTGACCAGTTCACCCGCTACAACTATCTCTTCAAAGTGTCCATGCCTCTGCCTTGTCCATTGCTTCTTTGGTGTCCATTTCTTCGTGGTGTCCATGGCTTCTTCCCCCGGTTCTCAGGTCCCTGTTTGGGTGCCATTTTGTTGTGGCCCAGCATATCTCAGCCCCAAGCCATGGTAGCCATGAGGTTCGGCCTGAGTGGGGGAATGTGGACTTGGAAACTCCTAGCAACCCAATGGCGATAAAGACCAAACACAGGCATCTTGTCATCTTTAGAGAGCTCTCAATTCCATGCTGCAAAACTGGAGTCTCTTGTTTATTCAGCATCTTCTTGGCTGTTTTCTAACCATGCTTCCATGACCACAAGGTCATTTCTCTCCTCCTGACCTCTCCCTGCTAGATAGCTCCTAACCCTTTGTTCTCACTTGTTACTTACACACCCCACCATCCGCCCAGGTGCAAGCCTATTCAAATGCTTAGTCCTGTAGAGATGCAAACTAGGGGACATTCTCCACTGAGGCCATGTCATTCAATAGCAGATTAGCTCGAATCTGCAATACAATTGTAGGCCAGAGCTGAACGGGAGGTTTGTACCTCAAGATACTTCTTAATGACATTTCCTGCCCCCCACAAGAAATTTCACATAAATTTACATAAAAGAATTCTTACACACTGTATAAATAGTACAACTGTCAATAGTTTTAAATTTTGAGAGGCCAAGTCAGAAATTAGCACTGTAGGGAAAGATTCTGCAAAACCTTACCAACTCCTTTCTGCCCCTTCTTGCCTCTTTCTGTGTTCTCTTTTTGCTTTCTCGGCCTCTGTAAGACAAGTAAGTTGATCCTTTTTCTCCCATAGAGCATCATTATCACCCTTTCATTTGCCTTCTATTAACTCGGGTATTTGATCAGATGCTTCCTTCTTAAAAGTTTGCTGTGGTTGTACTGTAAAATAGCGCCCTTTGTTTATAGCTATAAAGGCTACTTGATGGTTTGTTTCTGTTTAACTTATGTATCCCTCATTGGAAGGCAAGCTTCAGACATCAGGAGGTGTGTCTCTTTTGGTCATTATAATATGCCCAGGTATCAGATCTATAGTAGACTCAGTGAGTCTCTCACCTTGTGGCCCCATGCTGACACTGTCATCAAGATCTTACTTCCAGTGAGTTTTTAAAAAACTTTACTAGAGAAAGAGTCTGTCCTCTGAGAAAAATTACCATGCTACCTGTTAACTCTGGTAAAATGTTTTCCCTTGATACTAATGGTGTCAGTAATGCAGGAAAAGAATAGCATACAACATAGCCTAGAATTTTAGTCAGAAGTTTAGTAATTCTGAAAGACCCCTGGAAGCTCAGGTCCCCAGGATCTCACCCCAGGACCTCGGCCACCCCAATCACCATATGGAGGCGGAAACTTGATGCAAACAGCAAGAGGCTTTATTGAAATTGTTTAACGAGTTAACCCCATGTTAGCTCAGGCCTTTCATCCACCTGCCATGTCGGATGGCCAGAAAGACGGCTCGAAGCGTCTGCATAGAGATCTTATAGGGCAGCGTAAGGGGAGTGTCTAAGGGTACGCACAGGCTCAGGACTGGTGTGGCTCCAGGCTTGGAGGGTTTGCCCTGCACTGATTGGTCAACTGGTTGTTATTGCCCATAGGCCCTCCCAGGGTGGTTGCTATGCTCTGCAAGTCATTGCTGTGCACTTGTCTGTAAAGCACACCCAGAGCCATAAAGCATAGCAC